TGAATCTTCCACAGCCATTCATTTCCAATGCAACTGTGAGTTTTTTCGGGTTTGGTTCACTCTTCTGTAACGGTAAGGTTAAAAAGAAGAAAAGATGAAATTTCAGTTCTTAGTTCCAAAAGACTGAAAGGTTCAAATTACAGTTGGGATTTAGCTGTCCATGAATTAGCATGTGATTAGCATATCTGTAAATTGAAAGAAGAAAGTTTTAGTATAGAAAAAGATTAGATCTTATCAAAGTACATGAGCTATCCGATTTACCTTTTTTGAAGAGTGAGAACAACAGTGAAACAATTGATCAAATGGATGCTGAGTTTTGATGCATATCATCATTGTTATGGAGTCAGCAGACAGGTAAACATGGAATTTCTCTTTCATGGCTATCCATGCTTACTTCTTTCCCATCTTTTGATTCTTTTCTTTATCTTCTTTTTCAATCAATAAGTTATTAAATGTGGCTATCCTTGGCTCTCTTCAACTGTGATTGAGGCTTCCTTTTGTTTGTTTGCTTGATTGAAAATACTATTAAAGTAATTAAATTGGGCATTTGGGTCCAAGAGGGACACCATGTTTTGGGGTCTTTTTGTTCTATCTTAGTTTAAGACAGAACAGTTCCTAATGAATTGGCTTTAGAAAAACAAGTGATGCTTAAGGGGCCCCCTTAAACTTACTTTTCCTCTGCTTTATCTTTAAAATGGTCTTGCTAATAAGATCCTTGGTGCTGGGCTGCTGGCTTGACTTGATCACAGCTACCCTGGCTAACATGGCCCATGCCTTGCTTGTGGTGTGATGTGATGCTCAAAACCACTCTGGTTATTCAAGGATTTGGTAATTATTTCTTCAATTTTTCCAAACAAAGATTTTGATTAGATGTATAATCAAAGACCCAGCTATTCATTATCTCTTCTAAATTAGTTGTTTATAATTTGATTTTTTTTTCTTTTGCAAAAAATGAAATTCAAACTCAAACTCAAAACCTTTATGTAAGGACTTAAGAATATGTCTTGAAAAGTTAATATTATAAATTAGTAGTATTTGTGAATAGTTAAAATGGTGATATAAACCTATTCATTCAACCCCAAAAAAAATTATAGTTTTTTTTATAAATTAGAGAGGAGGTGATGCTGATTGTAAACTCAAATGTTGATAAGACATTATTGAAATTTTATTTTAATCAAGTGACAAATTTACAAGTTCACTCATGAACATTTAGCTTACAAGTTTGTGCATATACTTTTCACTTGAAAAGTTAAGTTAAAATCTCCTTTTGTTCGAATCTCAAATATATATATTTATTACAAGAAGTTTTTTTCAAAATAATTGACATCAAATTCAAACCTCTAGCTAAAATACAATAAAAGAATTAGGTTTAAGTTTTGTTATATGAGAACATATCCAAATTACTTTATTTTAATCATATTCTAGTTTGCGAATTTGATTATTGGTTTAATAGGTTGACTATTTTGAATGGTCGAGTCTAGATTTCATGTTTGGAAGCAAAAGTAATGCCTATAAAATAGTCATACTAAAAGTTAAATATTTGAAAAAAATATAAAACAAATTAGATGGAAAATTTTTATGTAAAAATTATACAAATAACTCCAACTACATGTTAAGTATAAAATAAAGATATTTTTTAATAGCTATTGTATGTTAAAATTGAGCATCTTTAATAGAGCTCAACAATTTTTCATAAAGTTGAATGCACCTATCATTGAATCAATGTTAAAATTTCGAATTATTTTCTTTTCAATGAAAATATTTAATAAATTTTTAAAAAAAATCATCTAACATTCTATTATGAGTCTCGTTCTTAATGAGTTTCGCAAGTAAAAAATGCACGCTCTGATGTTACGGTGAAAACTGAAACAGTTAAGACAAGTCGAATGAATTTATCAATAAGGAAGTAAACTTTTGATATTTTTGTCTTCTTTAACACTAAACATAATTTAGAAAATGTAGGTATATTTTTTAAAACCTAATTATTAAGATATGTCAAGTTTGAACAAATCTAATTGATAACTTAGATGTATCTTATCGAGCTCAGTAAAGTCATCATCATAATATTTATTTGCAAGGTTGCAATTTCAACAACAAATAATTCAAAATCATTTTGAGTGCCCAAAGATGTGCCAAAAGCAAATAAACCAAACTTACTAATTATCATGACATGAAATTTGAGTTCTTAACTAAAGGTTTTTTACACAGAGAATGCTCATGGCAAGTGAAAAAATTTAAAAAAAAAATTGACTTTTGTCTCTATTTAATAAAAAGAAAAGGGAACAAGAGGTGGTAGTTATAAGATTTTGGAGAAGGAGGGTTCCAAAACAATTCTATTGTAATAAGTTTTATTTTAATCCTAAATCTATTAAAATAAGTTGTTGACTGATTGTTATGTGGCATCTCACCAAACAAAAAATTATTATAAGAACAAAATTCTAAAATTCTAAAAAAATAAAAATATGTTATAAAAATTTTAAAATTTTGGTAAAGATAAAATTTTAAATTTTAAAAAATAAAAATATATTCTAAAAAATTTTAAAAATTTTAAAGAGGCAGGGCTTACTAGCCCCCTTTTCCTTTTCCTCTAACTATGATACACTTATTGTAAAATAATATTGAAAAATCTTTGATTCCGATTGTAAATTTACCTCTAATTTAATAAAAAAGAAAACCTTAAATCTATAATTTTCTAATCTATAAACATTTTAAACTCTCCGATAAAATTGAGTCTGTATAATTTAATTGGTATTTTGACTATGTTTGTGCCCATTATGGGCATTTCATGGCACTTTATTTTAATTTATATATTATTATTTTTTGGTCTACAAGGAAAGAAAAAAAAAAGGTAGAAGAGGAGTGGAGGAAGGTGTTACTATCTCATATCAGTTAGAGATGAAGAAACAAAGAGATAAAAGAGAAACAAAATGGGGCAGGGAAGGTGATTGACGAGCAGATTGATAATGGAGGCCCAGACTGCCACTATTTAAAAATGAAGAGTGACTGCTACCGGAAGCTACTAATAACCGACCTTAGCTCAGTTGGTAGAGCGGAGGACTGTAGTGGTTAATTGCTGACATCCTTAGGTCGCTGGTTCGAATCCGGCAGGTCGGATTTGCATTTTATTTTGTAACTAATGATATGATATGGTTTTCTTTCCTTAATTTTGGGTCCGATCTGATCCGAAAAGGGTCGTCCAAAAAAGCCGAAAAGGGTAAAGAAGGAAATATATCCATTTCTGGGTGGGCTTATTGGAGAGGACCCTAAGTTGGATTCAGGAGGAATGCCTTGTGAGATGCGTGTTTGCGCTGCTGAAATTGGCCCAGTCAGCTCCACTCTCTACTCTCGTTTTTTCCTTTGGCTTTTTGCTGGAATAAGATCAATTGAATGCGTCGAGTTCCCCAAAGGTAGCAACAGGGCAGACCACAAGCAACTCTATTTACAATGTGGGTGGAATAAACCTGGATAGTAGAGTGGGAGACCACACGCCTGTCACCAGCCCAGGTACCTTCTTTCTCGATCCAATGCATTGAAATCCAAATAATCCTTCTCTTTATCAAACCACCATCATTGGAATCAGGTCAGCATGGAACACTCGATGACTCAAACCACATGAAATGATGATGAACCCAAAATTAATCCTTCTTCACTTTTTCACTTCCAAATTGGGATTCTAGCAACCCATGCAGTCAGTAATCATTAATCAAATTTCAATGGTCGAGCCATGCCTACCCTCGTCCAAGCGCTTTATTGTATGAAAATTGATGTAACCCATGTACTCGAACCAATTGTTTAATTACAAGAAATGTAATAAAAAGGAATTCCTTAAAAATGAGGGCTGTAAGTGCGACAACTCCCGTCTATACAATGCTATACGTTCATGGTCAAAGCCTCAACACCTGCGACTAGAACCTCTAACTCTCAAATAAGGTCCACCACTTGCAAGAACAAAAAAGAGCGCACCTTGGAACAGGTCAAACAGTAGACACTTGGGGCCTACGTAGACCCTGCACGGACACGTTTTCATGGTCAATGTGCTTTGCTGAATCAGAGAGCAGCCTTTGGCGGTAACCCTAACCATGTCAACCATTTTTCATTTCTAGTTATTCTAGTGCCTACAAAACCAATATCATTTAACCGAACAAGGGACGAAGCATCCCACTTCTGATACCAACACCATTTGGAGAACAACCACGTTTTCACTGTTTTGGCTTAAAAAAGAGTAGTACCAAACAGCTGCAAAAAGCATGGTACTAAAGCACCCAACCATTCCCTTCCAGTTATGCTGAAAGCCTTGCACCGCTACCAATAGTGTACCGATGTCTTCATGGGAAATTCACAAGGGCTACCACAATCCAATGAATTGACAAATAGTTTAATGTTTTCCATTTAGCTTTTGCAATCCAAAGAGCGCATAAGTCTACAAATTTAATCCAGTTTTGAATAGCACTGATCATAACAGGAGAATTAGCTATGCACACTGTTCAAAACGAAAGTAACTTGCGGCTTCTGTCGATGTGGTAACAGTTACATCAAGAGAATTGACAAAAGAAAAGCGGTTTGATGATGATGCAAACTACAAGCATAGCCAGTAGAATTCACATGCATGCGGAGCAAGTGTATAGTTTTGTAACTATAGCAAGCACAACAGGGCAGGCAATAATGTTGGTTCTTTCCTAATTATCTATTATCCCCTCATCTATTGAAACAAAGAAGCACAAGTCACAAACGAAAAGCTAAGCCTACAAGAAAGCAACAAGAGTAACCTAATCTGAGATAAATTCATATAGCATGAGTTTGAAGCACTTGAGGCTGAAACCATATTCTTACTATCAGTTGTTCCTCATCTTCGCAAGCAACAATGCACTTGAAATTCTCAGTAGAATGCCAATGAACACTATAACTGAAAATATTAGGAATGTACTTGCCGAGCATCTCCTACTCAATGGTGTATTGTCAAGTTTAGCAAGACGATGCAGAACCGAACGATAGAGACTAAATTTTATTCAATGAATTGATATCAGAAAACCAAGCTCATAGAAGAACCATTCTCTTCTATCTATTAAAGATGCACTTGACATCTCATTTTATACAAGATTATTCAGCTTGAGAGAAATAAAAAATGAATGAAGATTATAATAAAACAAAAATTAGCATTTCAAAGAAACTGAACCTACACCAGAAAGTCATAGGGAAATTCAACATTTTTATGAAATTCCCATTTCATAAAGGTCTGGTACCTCTGTATAGCACTAGTTATGGTCACAAAATTACCATCAGTCAGCAAACAGAAGCCTCGGAAACTTTTCCTGCAGCTTGTTGCCACTCCGGTTACTACCTCTGCAGAAAGTCAATTATCAACAAATCAAGCTTACAAATTGATGATTCAATCATAATACAGAGATCTTAAATTAGACCAACAAGCTCAAAAGCAGCTGAAGAAAAAAAAATAATTTCATTTGTTTGGTTGCGGAGAAAGGGTCAGAAACAGAGATGGAAAAAGGTGGGAAATATTTGAATTTCACATTCGTCTTTCCTTGGTGATTGCTTCTGATTTGTTAAAATTTAAAAGACATTAATTCAAGAATTTAAAAGAGAACAAATTAGAAAAAGAAGGAACCAAATTTACCTTGCCGTTTTGAACCAACTCCGGCACCTTGTAAGAACCCACCGTCACCTCCGTCAGCCACAATCCAGGAAACAACGACTACAACCGCAGCCGAAAAAGCAACAAAAATTTAATAATGAAAAACGCCAAAACAATCGAAAAAAACATTGCCGGAAATATCAAGAACATAAAACTTACATCCAATTGATTCTGAACGTAACGTGGCCGTTTCTTTGGCCTCCTCAAAGGGCGGTGCCCGGCCATCACCATGAAATCCTCCTCGATCTCTTTCTTCGACAGCGACACCGAGAATTTCGGTCGTGGACTTTTCTTCTCTGCCGTCGCCACCGCCGCCGCCGCCGATGCCACCGATGATCCTCTGTCCCTTGCTCTGGGTGAATTAATAACCTCATTCTTCATCGGAGAATTATAATTGTTGTTTGTTCCTCCTCCGTCAATCGGAGCCTTACACGCGGCACGCCTCGTCCTGAGATTCCACGGCCTAGCCTCCACTGCCACTGCAGGCGATTCTTCTCTTTCTTTCTCTTTAATTTTCTCTTTCTCTTTCACTTTCCGTTTAGGCTCTTCGAATTCATCCTCATCGTCGTCGACATCATCATCGTCGGACACTTCGTCTCTAAAAATCTCATCTTTAATCTTATCCGCCGCCGTTTTAAGATCCTTCATGATCTTCTCCCTAACTGCCTCGATCCCCTCCGCCGCCTCCCCCTTGGATATCCTCAATCGCCGTTCCCTTCCATTATCGTTGTTCTGGTCGTTGCTTGGAGACGACTCCGATTCCCGCCGCCGCGTTGCACCAACGATCATACTCTCAAATTTGGAAGGCGGAGATCGGCGCCTCTGAAACACATGACGATGATGCTGACGATGATGATGATCAACAGCGGCGGAGGAGGAGTCGGTGGCGGTTGAAGCATCATCAAGCTTCATACACCTGAGATACCTCTGGTTGCCCCACTTCAAACACGGCAGATTGAAATTGTGAAGAGGCTTTGATCTCTCGGGTCCCATCGCCATCTCTCTCTCACCAGAATACACCATTGATCGCATCCAAAACACAGAGCGAGCTCAATCTTTAAACCGAAAAAGAAAACAAAAGCAACCCTTTCTTACAATTCCCTCTGGAATTATAATTTCTTTTATTTCTTCTTCTCTTCCCGTTGGCAATGGGGATTTCTTGTTTGCTATGCCAATCGCCGAGAACGCTTTCAGAGTTGCCTCCTTCTCTTTTCTCTCATAATATGGGAGTAAGGGACGGGCGAGGGCGGTTTTAACGTTCGGGTTAGGAGATTTCGAAGGGGTGCTTCCGTAATTTCATTATTCGGTGAAGGGCTTTCTGCTAAAGTGCGCCTAGGTGTATAGATTAGGGGGATTTGGGTTTTCCCGGGTGATACGTCGTTTTTGAGTTATGGTTGGCGTAACCACCGTTTGATAAAACGCACGTGTGTTTTATCTCTTCCATAGCCGTTGATATTTTCGAGAAAGGAGAGGTGAAGAAGGAAATTTGATGGAAATTATTATAATTTGTTGCGTGACAAATGACAATGTCAATTTGGCTTGAAAATTTTTCATATCTAGAGAGGTGGTTTTTGTTGAACATATATTTCCTTATTCCATAACATATAATTTTGATTATGAAGAACCATGCCGATGTTTCATGCATTTCTCTTCTAAATCTCTTAATTCTTCAACCACGGTATGTTTTCAAAGAGCACATTTAGCAGCTTGGTGATTGGAAGCATGTTTATGACTATGGCCTAGGGATGTGGTGAAGGTTCTATGGGGAGTTAAAAAGTGGAGAGTAAAAAAAGTTACTTGTGGATAGGATGTGCTGTGACATAATTGGTATTTGTATTGGGTAATTTACATGTCAATCACATTATTTTTAATATATGTTTTAAATTTTATTTTAAAAATATTTAAATATTTCATTTAATTTAATAATTCAATTTTATTAAAAATTTTAATTTTGAAAAAACAAAAGAAGAAAAGGAAGGTGGAGGAAAAATATGGGATTGTATGGTTAATTCTTTTATTAAGTATGAAACAACAATAATTTGGTTGTTTGTACCAAGTTTATAAAATTGTCAAACAAGAATAATAAATTTAAAAATTATAATTGATATATATATATATATATATATATATATATATATAGGCTAAATGCTCAAATTGAAGATAAGCACTTTGACACCTTTTCAATTAAAGGCCAAACATTTTAATTGTAACAATCAAAGGTCAAATATTTTCAATTCCTTACAATTAAGGGCTAAGTTAATAAGTGGCTAAAGCGTAAATCACACATGATAAAAAATTATGTGAGCTGATTACATGGCAGCTGACTTGGCACGTTATCCAAATGGCATCATTTTGATCTAAATCCTATGCCTAATTTTACTACAATTTCATCCATTCTGCTTCATCCCCTCTCTAATCCAACTCTTCTTTCCTTAGAGATGGGCATGTGCACAGTCATTGGTGAGGCGATACCAACTCATGACATCGAACATTATGAAATGTGTTAACTTGTATCTAAAGCATGCAAGATAGATACCTATCACTGTTCTGATCTAGTTCGTTAAAGCCATGTTCCAACATTGTTTCCATGAGCAATACAAGTAAGGCATCAAAGTTTCCATGCCCTGCAAGCCTAGAGCTACCTTTTGATTGAGCCAAAAATTCAACGAAGGACATCACTTTATAGTTAAACCTATCGATCAAGTGGATAATTTGTTTATAAAATGTTAACAATTTTTATTAGATGTTAACTTATTAATGATTTGTATGAAGTGTTGTTAATAATTTGTACGAAATGTTGATATACTAAGATTTGCATGATTTTTGGGTGTTTGTGAACTTCTCCTTAAAATATGCAAATATGTGAGAGGTCAAGCCTGTATAATGTATTGTTAAACGCCATGATCGAAAAAGTTGTTACACAACATGCAAAAAACAAAAATAATGTTGTTACACATCATTTTCTAAATATTTGTTACACAATATGTTGGGAAATGTTATTGTTACTTTTTATGAAAAAAATATTGATAATGTCATGTTCTAAAATTTAATTACTACACATCATGTTAGAAATAATTCTTACACACTATGTTAAAAGTTTAATTGTTACATGTCATGTTGAAAAATGTAATTGTTACATGTTGTGTCAAAAATTTAGTTGTTACACATCATGTTGAAGATTTTATTGTTACACGTTTTGTTAAAAAATGTAGTTGTTACACGTCATGTTGAAAATTTAATTGTTACATGTCATATTGAAAAAATATAGTTGTTACATGTCATGTTGAAGATTTAGTTGTTATACATACTATATTGAAAAATTTAGTTGTTATATGCCATGATAAAAAAATTATTACACATCATGTCATAATTTGAACTGCTTTAACTTGATAAAAAACACTTTTTAACAAAATTATCCTTCCATATCTTATATGACAAGTCAGTGTTCACATCATTCGCGTGTCTTACAAGCGCAAAACACCTCTCACCTTAGCCCTTAATTGTAAGGAATAAAAAACGTTTGGTTCTTAATTGTTATAATTGAAATGTTGGATCCTAAATTGATAAAAATTTAAAGATTTTGACCTCAAATTAAGCATTTTATGTGTGTATATATATATATAGTCTTGTTTAGATATTATTTTTACAATACAAAATTATTTTGATCTTCTTTGAAGTAAAAAAATGCCTTTTATATAATGAAAGGTAAAAACCTACGTTCCATGACAAAAGCAAACAACATTTTTAATAAATAAAAAGTATATTAATTTTACGAATAGTAGTATACGTTAATTTGTTTTATATGAAAAAAATTAGGACAAAATACCCTAACCCCACTAACATTTAAACATAATTCTACATGGATTCATTAGTATTCGAAATGAACAGTCCGCCACAAAAGAATATCTTTCACTGCATACATAAGTCCAATTGTTAGTCAACCGTTAATCTTGATATTAGTTTGATGACATAGCAATATTTCTTGAATAAGTTTACCCTTCATTAATTTTAAAAATTACCAAACTATATAAATCATAATTTTTCATTTTTAAAATTTTTTTCTCTCCTATTTAAAAAATACTCTCTTTACCCTATCATCGGTCATCCACTCTATGATTGGATTTGGTAGGGAAGCGTCAAATCTAACCATGTCGCACTCCCTTAAGGGAGCACGAGATTTAGTGGTACGGCCAGATCGCACACCCTTAGGGAGTTTCGATCGGATCTGGCATTCCACAACTAGATCTTATTGCAGAATGGTCAGCTGGTGTAAAGAAATGTCGTTGGTCCGCCTGAAAGAAAGGAAAATAGTGAAAAAAGGTGAAGATAGAAAAAAGGTATTTTAAACATTTCACGATTGCACGTTAACATCATTTACACGTTTAGGACAAACTATTCATTTCAAATACTAATAGACCTATGGATAGAATATTTTACCCAAAGAATTATGTAAATTATTGTTCGATATTAAACATTTTATCATATTTAGTCAAATTAATTTTATATTTTATTATTTATTTTTATCAATAACAACTTATGAAGAGGCAAATAAGTCTCGAGATGCTTCATTTTGGAGAGAAGCAATACAAGATGAGATGGACTCGATAATGGGAAACAAAATGTGGAATTTGGTAGACCTTCCACCAAGTTCCAAGCAAATAGGTTGTAAGTGGATTTTCAAAAGGAAAATGAAAGTTGATGGAATCGTAGATAAGTTCAAAGCAAGGCAAGTGGCAAAAGACTTTAAACAAAAAGAAGGTGTTGATTATTTTGATATATATGCACTGGTAGAAAGAATAGCTACAATTAGAGTTCTTGTAGCACTTGCATCTATACATAAGATGGTAATTCACCATATGGATATTAAAACAACATTCCTAAATAGTGAGTTAGATGATGAGGTGTATATGGAACAACTTGAAGGGTTTGTCTTTCTTAGTCAAGTAAGGAAAGTATGTAAACTTGTAAAGTCTTTGTATGGATTAAAACAAGCGCCTAAACAATGGCATCAAAAGTTTGATGGAGTTATGCTAGCTAACGATTACAAAATCAGTCTATCTAACAAATGTGTCTATAGTAAGTTTCATAATAGTAAAAGTATCATCATTTGTTTATATGTAGATGACATATTAATCTTTAGTACTGATATAAATTAAGTAAAGAACACAAAAAGGTTCTTGTCACAAAATTTTGACATGAAATATGGGTGTGGTAGGTATTATTTTTGGTATAAGAATAACAAAAGACAATAATGGCCTAACATTGTCTTAATCTCATTACATTGAAAAGATTGTAATGAAATATGGTAAGTCAGATTGTATGCCAATATCTACGCCTTATGATTTTAATCTAAAGCTTGTACCTAACAAAGACAAGACAATAGTGCAAAATGAATATGCAAAGGTGATTGGATGCCTAATGTATGCTATGGTCTGTACAAGGCCGAATATTGTTTTTATGGTTAGGATGCTAAGTTGATTTACAAGTAATCCAAATAAAGAACATTGGTATGCTATTCATAAGGTTTTAAGATACTTAAAATGTACAAAGAATTATAGCATTTGTTATTTAGGGTTTCTTTTTATTTTTAGAAGGGTATATAGATGCTAGTTGGAACTCAAATAGAACGGATCATACTTCTACAAATGGTTGGATTTTTACAATTGGTGGGGGTGTTGTTTCTTGTGGTTCTAAGAAACAATCTTGTCAAGTAGACTCCACTATGGCGGCTAAATTTATAGCTTTAGCATCTATCACCCAAGAAGCAGAATGGTTGAGAGATTTACTCCATGAAATTTTATTGTGGCCTAAACCAATGGCACCAATCTTGATACATTGTGACAATGAAACTGTATTAAAGGCATATAATTAAGCATACAATGGAGAGAGTCGATCTATTAGACTTCGACATAGCATTGTAAGACAAAGAATTAGTGATGATATAGTCACTATGAGTTATGTGAGGTCTGGTGAAAATTTAGTGGATTCGTTTACTAAAAGTCTAAAAAAGGACTTGGTAATAAAGACCTCAAGAGGAATGGGTCTCAAGCCCATCAACTAAATCTCCAATGGTTGGAGCTCACCTCTACACTTATGGCTGATCTGCAACTCTTAGGTACCAACCATTCTACCACATGGATGATTACAAGCACTAATTTATATTTTTCATCCTAAGGTGTATAGTGCTTGGTTCCAGTAATGTATAAGGTAAGGTTGAACAAAAGTTCTTAATAG